ACGTGACCTTTCATTCGAATTTTTGCTTCTTCCACCCGATCTGCTGTTTTTCTCGTCCTAATTTAGTTTTATAGTCTGATTTAATCATTCCTGCATCCTACCTTCTCATTAGCCCATAAAATGCTCACTTTCATACCTTGTTTCATTCTGATCATCCCTCGTCGATTTTGTTTTCTTTCAGCAATTTTATTCTTTTTGGCATACCTCTCTATCCACCTCGCGTTCGTTTGCAACTCTCTTTCGTACCGTTTATTACGTTCAGGTTATGGATGCTATAGGTAACTATGAAAATGTTCGTCCAAAAGAGAATTTTTTGTTATCGAACCTCATCCAGGTGACCTGCTTCATGAACTATGGCACGCAACTCTAAATGAATGTGTAAAACCACGTACTCATAGTAAGCGATCGACATTATTACATGTCCTGTGTTGGAGAAAGGGTAAGCTTCTCATACAGGGTGGGGCATAGGAACCAAGTGTTTTTAGATCGGATAGTACGTGGCCATTGGAGAAGGGAGGGGCGTACATTATGTTACAATCCATTTCTTGACTCAAAGCGTGTGCGTCATTTCACTGTCAGTCGCAACCATGGCGCCATGGACGTTAGAACAACGCGTATTGACTTACCATTGTTTTGTTAGGAGTGGCGAGTCGGTGAATGCAGTACAACTTCAATCACGCCGAAGATTCGAAAATCTGAGAGCATTGCATGAAAAGCCACTGCACAGCCCTAAGGTAACATTTTGGTGCGCGGTGACAAAATTTAGCGTCATTGGACCATATTTTTTTTTTTTAAGAGCTTTTTCATACCTGCCTTACAAAGAGATTAGTTACCATTGGTAACAGCTAAAAATCTTAAAAATAAATATTTTATGACTAAGTACTGTGAAATAATTTCATTTATTTGTTTACCAACAGCGATATATAATAGTAATTCAGTAAATAGCAAATTAGCCCCACGGAAATAATGCGCCCTATAGTGTCTAGGTTTTGCGAACACGATGAAGCTGACTTGGTTGGCGGTTGTTACCATTTTCATTTATGGATACACTCGGTAGTCCGTCGGGGACCTTCGGTGCCGGCTCGTGTCTGATCGCGGTCGCCCGAGTGGGTGGGGCGCTGCAACTATTTTGTGGGCTTGTTACCATTTCTTGATTTGGTTACTCACGTCTCACTCGTTCGTAGCCGTTTTGGTTACCGGTTGTAGTGTGCGTGCAATTAAACCTGGATGAGTGTCGCTGGGTAATCGATCAACTGCTTGAAAAGTAGAATTTTTAAGAAAAGAAAGGAGATCATTGAATATGGAAGAGCAACACCTATTTTAGATAATTTTAAAAAGGAATAAAAAAACGTAGTTTGATATTTTAAATTAAGTTGGTATATGGAAACTCTTGGTTATGTGGTTACAAAAAAACAGATCGTATTGTTAGCTATGTCATCTGTTTTATACAGAAAAAAATGGATGGACCAGCAGCGGAGTCAACAATTAAAATAGTTTTAGGGCTCTAAAGAGGAGACATGAAATTTCTCCGTTACATGTGAGATGTGTAGCCAATTTAATTCAGTTTGGCAAAACAACAATCGAAAGCTGTCTTCCAAGCTTTTAGGCAGCACACTCCTAGATACCGTATGTGTTTTGTCAAAACAGGAATTACCGTTCAGGCAGCAGCGGTGGCCGCAGTAGTAGACTCTTCGGTCTCCTGATCAGTCGCCGTGTGCTGTGCGGGTTCGAGTCCCGTCCCAGGAGAAATTTGTCTCTTGGCTATGGATGTTGTGATTGTCCGTAGGTGGTAGACGGTCTCTGACTGTCGAACGTGGAGGTACCACCCGGCGGATCTCGTAGGCAGAGTCAGAATGTGTGCATGTTGCATGCACACGTGTTCCCTCGCCAGAGTCCGTGTGGCGTTCCCCCTTTCCCCTGTATCCCCCTATAGTCCCACGGTACCCAATGGGTGTTTAGGCCTTAGGCCTTCGTGGTAGTTGGAGTATAAAAAAAATTGAAGGGGATGACTCTGACTTCTGACAATAGAGGAAATTACAGGGAATTGTTAACATTCATTGCCAAAAAAGATCAAAAATTTTCCGAACATCTAGAAACGTCGACTGTTTTTTCGGACGGCTTGGATTAGTCATAGCATAAGACGATGAGGTATATCAAATGCCCCAGACGCTCAGTTCAGGAATGTTTACCTTAATATAAAAATAGTTTAAATAAAATACCTAACTTACATTTAGGAGGTTCAAAATAAACTTTTTTTAATAAGATTTTCCACATCTGGTTTTGGTAACAGTTTAGGAAAAGTCACGCGTCGCCACTGGATTAGTGGTTTCAGCAAGATGGGGCCACGGCACATGCCGCCAGAGCATCTATGCTTGTTTTCCGGTTCGGTGACATTGTATGGCCTCTCAGGTCTCCTGACTTATCCACATGCTTTGTTTTTTGTGGGGATACCGTAAGTCGCGTCTTTACGAGACTAAGCCCATACGATAGATGCATTAAAAGAAGCGATTCATTCGTTACAAGTTAGTCTAATCAATAGAGATCTACTGGAAAGAGCGGAGGCAAATTCTCGAGAACGACCTCAGCAATGCGTCAATGAAAACGGTCAACACATGCCAGCTGTTATTTTCCATTCATGAATATCTTAAAATGCTTTGTTCTTACCTATATTGTGCTACCAATAAAGATTTTTTATAGTAAAAACTAGAAAAACCTAAATTTTATTATTATTTTATAAACACTTGGTTCCTACGCGCCACCCTGTATCACCCTCAACTACTGAAGAAGGTGATAGAAGGCAGCGGAGTTTTCTTTGTATTATGCTAACCCAGAAAGACTTATAGGGCAGCTAGACAGACTGAAAGCGAAGTTTTTTTACACAGAAGCCTAAATGCCAGAGCACCGCGGATGCTTTAAGGATCCCAAAGAAAGTTTGTTGAACTGCCTACGGTAGTAAAACTGGGCAAAAACATAATCTTGACTCCCTAGTGATAAAGGAGCGGTCGTTTCGGCCAATTCTGGATGTACGAAGATCAACCCGGTTAGTATGGGAGGGAGGCCGAAGTCAGGCGGATCAGTCTGGCAGGCACATCGCACTGCAGCATCATAGAGAAGAGGCATCGATCATTCGGACAGCTCTTCTTAGCCCTAGCTTTTTCCCAGCAGCTGCCGCTATCGACGAGATGTGTCCAAGTCAGATCTGAATGGTTCTTTGGCAGAACTTGGTCATCCATTGTAATCGGTTAAGTGCTAGGACCCTTTTGGTTTGTCAAGGTACAGTACTGTGTTTTGGAAGCATTAACCTGTACAAGACTGTTGCGTCCCCAAGCAGTGGTAACCTCCAGTCGCTGCTAGTATTATTTTTTCCATCTCACCGGCAGAGATCGGCTTGACACTGTGAATTCTTGCATGTAGAGTGCTGTCATCATCAAAACTGTAGACTGGATTGATCATACAGGAAAGGAGGTCGTTGATATGTAAGAGAAATGGTATCGGAGCCAAGACCGACTCCTGGGGAACACCTGCGTTGACGTTGTGGGATGAAGAGGAGAACCCGTCAATTCATCTTGCGGCCAGAGGAAGAGTCTGCCACCCATCTGCAAAGCTTCTCTGGGAAGCCATAGGATGGAAGTTTGCATAAAAGTGCCGCATGCCTCAGCTGATCGAACGCTTTCGTGATATGACGAGCAACGACATGAGCGTCACCATAGGAGTGGCTGAGCTTACTCCAGAATTGCGTCGGAACCCATACTGTACTCGACTGACTCATCTTTCTGCGCACATCCCCTGCTCAAGTATGTGTATTATTGCAGGTGAAGGTGCTCTCTAGTGCCGAGTAGCCATGAAGTACTATTCTCGTTGTTAGTCTGCAACATTTGACTTTCCAACTAAAATTATACAGCTAATTCAAACTATGTCACGCTGCGCTGGAGTGTTTATTCGTAGATCACTTGTAGTTCATATGGAAATGATTCCATTGAGTATTCCCAAAAATGACTGCCTACATAAAAAAGAATGCACCTTATACGACAGACGTTCTAGATCCTAGTGCTGAACCAATGAAATTATCGACTAGTCCGAACACGTATGACATTTTATCACCTACATTCATAAATATGCTATATACCTAGTGACCTACATTCCTTTATCCTGAGGCAAATGCTCGGCCTGCCTTCCTCTGAAACACGTTCTCCTCTCTAATGCTTTTAACAGACGTGCATCGCTTGCGTTAATTACTCTTCGTTGTAGTGTAGTATAGAAGATACGTTTTTCAACTGTATAAAGGTTCCATTGAATTCACAGGGACTTCAGTATTCAAATGGTTAAAACCGTCAGGTTTATCACAGTTTGCTAGGGATCATTGAATGTATGATCTTATTTTCGAAGCTTATAATATAATTAGTATACCATTCAAGCACTCCAAAAATGAAAAATGAAGATTTCGAGCAAGGGCAAAGCACGCCGTGTTTGAGGTGTTAAAATCTCAAATCGTAAGTAAGAAACCTGTTAAGGAAATCATGGATTTAGTCAACTGTTTTTTAATAATATCTACTGTGATAGAACGATCTTATAGTCTACGAAGAATACGGGCCCAAGATAAAAATATTGCCTCCATTTTGGTCTCGATCGATTACTCTAAAGCATTCGACAAACTGAGTCATCAGCTGCTCCTTGCTAAATTGGAGTATTTAGGTTTTGATAATATATATGTGTGATACGCCACTAGTGTGACATGTGTCGTGTTTGGGGTTCTGCTGAAAATTCATATTTTTGAGTGGTAAAAGAGGCCAAAAAATTTGAAAATTTCTTGCAAATATTAGTAATAAGTGCAGTTAACAATCCTGTGAAGTGAGACCTGCATGCAATCTGCTTAAACGAAGTTACTTGAAATCTTCTTTATTTTATATCGAACCAACGTAAGAAGTCACTTTTTTGCGATACATTCTGTGAGAATACAAGGACTAGTAGCTCAGTTTTTTTTATTATTGTCATCATCATGAGTAAATGTCTGATGTGTCCTGACAAGGGACCTATTCTGTTGAAGAATGCTGTTCAATGTAAATCTTGCTCTATATATTATCATGTCATGTGTTAACAGTGCAAAGTTGTTGCCTGATGGAAGTTATAATTACTGTTGTGGTACTGGTGGTCAAGTTCATGATGAACATTTTGCTGGACTAGATCCTGGATTTCAAATTATTTTGAAAAGGCTTGACAAAGTAGATGCGTCATTGAGTGCAATTAAGTCAGATATTCAATCCTCCAGCAACAAGCTAACAGAACTTGAAGAGATTGTCACTGGTGAGTCTTTATATGATGAAATGAAAGATAGGATGAATAGAGAGAACTTTATTATATATAACTTTGATGACTCAGTGAATGCAGCTGCTACTGATTCTGTGAATATAAAGAAATTGCTCGAGAATACAAAGCTTGTTATTCCATTTAACTTTGATTATCTTAAAGTTTTTCGACTTGGACGTGATTTTGTTGAAGGAAAGAATAGATTAGTCAAAGTTGTTATGAAATCCTCTGATAATGTACACTGGATTTATCATCATAGTAGTGAAATTTTTAAAATAATGTTTTTGTCAGTAGTGATCTTACAAAAAAACAACAAGCTCACATGCAAAAACTTAAAAATGAAGTGAAGGATAGATCTGACAAAGGAGAAAAGGATTTAAAAATTAAACATATCAGAGGTAAACCAGATTATGTCTTATTAATGAATATGACATTATAGTTTTGACTGAAACTTGGCTTGATGAAGACATTACTACTGCTGAATTACAACTCCAAAATTTTACTGTGTACAGATGTGACAGGTCTTCATTTACAAGTGTGAAGAAATCTGGTGGTGGTGTTTTGATTGCAGTCAAAAAATGTATTAAGTATTTAAATGTTATTTTATGAACAAGTTATTTTGCGTATAAAAACTCATGCAAAGTCATTTTTCATTAGTGTGGTCTATATACCACCCCTTCTAGGAACAGGATTGATGTTTTATTTGCTTATAATTTATTTAATAACGTTATTGATAATTTCAGTTTATTGTCAAAATTCAGATTTTATGTGCCACCAAGAATGTTAAGACGTAATAATGTTTATTTTCATGTTATGCCACCTAAATCAGATCTGATAAATCATTCTCCTGTTTTAGATTATCTAAACTATGTAACGAACACAGTAGTTGGCTTGATTTGTATAATTCGCGTAATTATATTGTTAGAAATGTATCAAAGTCTATGTTTACATTTGAGTAGTCTTTTGATCTTGTAATATTTGAATTTATGATTACTAGATTATTGCATTTCGTCATTTGAACATCTGTATTAAATTGCGCAGATGATTATGTTAATCTCAGTTGATTGCCTTATATACTATTATATGTTACTGTTACCACATATGTAGCCCCACTTACACGACGTTTGCGGTGCATTTTTCTATTTATAATACACATGTATAATGGGTTCGCCCGTAAGATGAATAAATAAATAAATAAATATCTATATCATTTTTCACGGAATACTTAGCTAATCGGTCCCAATGTGTTGTCATTAATAATACTTTTTCTAACTCTAGCAACATCATATCTGGTGTTCCACAAGGATCTGTTTTGGGACCCTTGTTATTTCTAATATATATTGCAGACTTGCCTTCTGTAGTAGCTAACTCTACAATACAGTCATTTGCAGACGATACCCAGTTGCTCTATCATTTTGATCCACATGATCAACAAGCAACCGTCGGGTTACAAAAGGATATTGATGTAGTTTATAGCTATTCTATAAAGCACAATTTGATAATAAATTCCTCTAAATCCAAAATCATGTTATTCTGCTCTAATACTAAACGTGAGCGCATCCTCCAAACATTGCATCCCAAAATTGGATCAGATAGAGTAGAATTTAGTAATGAGTCTAAAATACTTGGTGTCATTTTAGATATTAACTTAAGATTCAAAAGTCATGTTTCTAGCATATTACAAAAATCCTATTGGAAATTACGTGTTTTATATGCAAATAGACGTGTTCTGCCTTCTGCTTTGCGAAAACAACTTGCTGAATCCCTTATTCTTCCAATTATCATTTATTGCAATATTTTTTACCAGCCTTGCTTGGATCAGCTCACTAAAAGACGTTTACAAGTGATTCAAAACAACTGCCTCAGATTCACGTGTAGTTTAAGAAAATACGACCATGTTAGCCATGCTTACAAACAGTATTGGATGGATGAAGCTTGAGTGTTTGACAAAGTTTCATTATTTGGTCTTCCTGCATAAGCTGCTCGCATCTGGTAAACCAAAAACCTAAGAGAAAAACACTTATGTTTTCTAATGAAATAAATATCAAAACTCTTAGATATACATTAAATATTAGAACACCCCATTACGTCGCCTCGCTTTTCCAACGCTCATTTTCCTATAATGCTGCTAGTCGCTACAATAATATTCCTGATGATGACAAAACCATGAATCTGTCTTGTTTCCGTAAGCATGTTAGGCTATATTTACAGAGTTCTACATTATAATGTTTCTTCTTTGTCTAATTTTGTTAATAATAGCTAGTTTATGGGCACATATGCTTGTAGGCATTTAAATTAGTTGCTTGTTTGATTGAACTGCTTTCAATACTATTATGACATTGTAATAGCCAAACTTTATTTTTTTGTCTCTCCTATAGAATCTTTTTTTTCGTATTCATATGGTTAAGTGTAAGAGTAGCTTCAGCTAAACTTCGCCATAATGAATCGCACTCCGTATCTTTGTAATTAAAGACGATATTATTATTATTATTTATTATTATTATTATTATTATTATTATTATTATTATTATTATTATATAACACTTATAAGTTGTCCATAGAGAAAAAAGATAGTTTTTTCTGTAAAAAGATGGCAGATATCTGAAAGTCTTAAATGACAAATACATAAAAAGATACAACCAGGCATGCGTTGTTTTTTATAAACAATGAGAAAAGCTCAAAATTCAGTGTTTTGCTGGTATAATTCTCAAATTAAATTTCATATATAACGGTAAACTGGAGATGTGCGAGCATAATAATACCTTCAATTCTATTTTTCAAGAACTAAAATCGATAAACAATTTAGCTAGATACGGGTTTTTAGCAATATTGAATAAATGTTTATAACTATTGCAATAACAAGTGTAAATGGCTTAAAAATTGTGAGAATGAGGGTATCGTTGGTGTTAATATGTGTGCTAATTTCACCGGATTGGTTTATTAGTTTATGTAAAAAGCTAATTGTTTATACGAGAGACGAATTATTTAAACAACTGTTTTTGCCCAAGACATGGTCGTAGAACAGCTTACAAAGGTAAAATGGATTCAACTTCAAGAATGTATGCGAAAAAATATTATTATTTATTTAAAATGTTGTCAAAAGTGATCTTAAAGAAATAGCCATTTTTAGTTATACACAGTTACGATAAATCCATTATTTTTCAATATAATTTATTTCAACAAATTATGTTGTATAGTGGTTAAAAAACGCATGTTAAAAAAAACCTCTACGACCAATAGGAGCCAAGATACATATCTTTAATTCGTATCTATTTGTTTATAAACATTAAGAAATTTTTACAGATTCCAATCAGGGATCTTGATTTTAGGATCCAATTTATAATTTCACTATTAGTTTAAAGGTATTTAAGAAATAGCCAGCTAAAGTCAAAGTACTCTTTTATTTCCGGGTTGGTGGGAGAATCATCTCTACCTCGATTTATTCTGAGTCCTCAAATCGGAGCGCGCTGTTAAATTTTGCAACTCGTCAAAATAATGACATCTGGCGCATTTTTGGAAAATCGGGAAATCCTGGAAAATTTAAGACATTGTAATCTTCAAAATTAAATTGCTATAAAATAATAATAAATTAATAATACCTCATTTACTTTAACTCTCACTCTAATAAAATAATTTATATTTTACAATAAATATATAATAAAAACAATTCTTAATTCAGTTAATTGGTATACTCTTAACAAAATACGCTCTAATAAATTGTAAAAAAATATTTGATTCTCTTTTATTATATTTGGACGCTCTAGTTCCTTCAATATTTGTGTAACTCATTTTTTCAAATCAGACGTAGATTTCGCAGTCTGCTCTTCATCGTCGTCAATCCCAATTACAACAAGGTTGTAGCAAGTTGTGCCAAAAATCCTATTGGTCGTAGAAGGTTTTTAAGATATCCATTTTTTAACCAGCTATGCAGATCAACTTTATTATTACAAACTGAACTATATTGAAAAATGAGGAAGTTATGGTAAATGTTTATAACTATAAAAATGGCTATTTTAAAAAAAATGTATCAGCAATTTTGAAATAAACAATTTTTTGCATAATTTTTGAACTTGAAACACTTAAACAAATCGTTTTCACTTTTGTAAAATGTTCTAGGGCCATATCTTAGGCAAGAACAGTTGTTTAAATAATTCGTCTGGGATAAACAATAAGCATCTAGCACACATATTAACACCACTGATGCCCTCATTCTCAAAATGCTAGCCATTTACAATTATTATTGCAATAATTATAAACATTTTATTCAATATTGCTAAAAAGCCCCCGTATTTTAGCTTAATTGTTTATCGATTTTCTCATATGGGTTATAAGTGATTTGTTTTATATATTTGCGTTTGGTTTGTGTTAACTGTTAACAACGTAATATTTAACTTTAGTGGTTAAGTGTTAGAGTAGCATATTGCTAAACTTCGCCATTATAGTTACACTTTATATATATATATATATATATATATATATATATATATATATATATGGTCTTTGTCATCCTCACATACTACTGTAAGTTAATTTAAATTCACGTTACACAATTGTTGCTACTATTATCAATGTAATTGCAGCTCTGATGATGATGCAAAGACCATTGAAAGCTAGAGAGAATAAAAAAGTATAAAGACTCCTCCTTGCTTAAATTTTGTCGAAGTACCCGACAAAAGGTGGAAGCTTTAATTTCACTATATATATATATATATATATATACATGTATATATATATATATATATATCTATATATATATATATGTTAACTTGAGGTCGAAATTAAACTAATTATCGCTCAAAACTACTACAGAACGTTGATGATTGACCGCTGCAAAGACCCAAACAAAAACTGGTCAGGCATCCAATGTTTTTATCAACACTATCAAGATAAGCGCGAGCAGACTGGCTCAGATACATTTATCACGTGAGACAAAATAACATTTATCGGGTGAGACAAAGTATTGAATAATACTGAACATTCCTAACACGGCCTTCCTGCTCTCGTACGCCCTCGTACGCAAAAAGTATTTTAATTACCAGTACAACAAATAAACATATCAACCGTTTAAGGTTCCAAAATTAACATGGCAACCGTTTAAGGTTCGAATCATACTACTTAGATCTTGGATTGTTATGGTAAAACATCATATTCAAAACATTCTTAACGCAGTGTTAAACACCATTTCGCCCTTTGATTCGGAATAATACAGCTCACTAGGTGTGAAAATACAAATTTATCTCAACCATGTAAGGTTCTTTTTTCAAAACATTCTTAATGTAGTGTTAAACACCATTTCGCCCTTTGATTCGGAATAATACAGCTAACTAGTTGCGAAAAATACAAATTTAATTCAACCATCTAAGGTTCTTTTTTTTTCTTCTTTTTGTTTTTTTTTATTTTTTTGTTAATCAATTTTTTTATCATCTATTCAAAAGTACATAAGTCAACCATTTACGGTTCGAAAATAAACATGTCAACCAGTTAAGGTTCGAAAATAAACATATCAACCATTTAAGGTTCCAAAATAAACATAAATCAACCATCTAAGGTTCCAAAAGGACATAAGTCAACCATTAAAACATATCAACCATTTAAGGTTCCAAAATAAACATCCGGATACTTGAGTATTAGCTCTCTCTTACCAAACGTCAATAAATTGGGAGTAAAACCAATCCAAAATGAGAAAAAATGTCACAGTCTTTGGCACGCACGGTATATCCCACTTCTGATGTAACTTGAGGTCGAAATTAAACTAATTATCGCTCAAAACACGACTTCTATTGCACACAAACAATTCAGATCTGATCTCGTCAACAAAACGTTAGTGACCGCTGCAAAAAACCAAACAAAAACTGGTCAGGCATCCAATGTTTTTATCAAACACCTATCAAGATAAGAGCGAGCAGACTGGCTCGGATACATTTATCAGGTGAGACAAAAAACGTTTATCGGGTGAGACAAAGTATTGAATAATTACTGAACATTCCTACCATATATATACATGTATTGTATATAGTATTTAATAAAGTCGTTTATTGTTATTATTATCGATTATTTATAAAATTTAATTTGAAAATTATACAGCCAAAGTACTAAATTTTCGGCTTTTTCCCAATATTTTATAAAAAAAGAACGCTTATCCGGCTGTATCTTTATGTATTTGTCATTTTTTTTATCTAACCTGGGACTATTTA